TGCTCAAACAGCAACATTACAGACTAACTAAAGTTGAAAAAGTGAAAAAGCATAATAGGACCCCTTTAAATAATAAATAAAAATAATCAAAACACATCTAATTAATTGAAATCATGAAACTTCCACAATTTAACAGCAATTTATTAAGTTTAACAAAAATGACTTTTTTAAAGCCCTATGAAATACGTTTTTAAAATTCAGTTTTAATTTGACCAAATTCAGCATTTTCCATTAATTTTCTGGATTCCATTTTAATGGTTTCATTAAATTTTAATAATCAAAAGCACCTCTAATTCATTGATTTTATAGAAAAAAATATTTATTATTACTATGGGCGTTTTAAGAAATACTGTGTTGTGTATTTACATTTTTCTGGTAAATAATTTTTCTGGTACATATTAACAAATAGTAATAATTTTATTATTATTAGTAGTAGTATCATTACATTAAGTAATATATTTCTGTCACAGTTTCTTCACGTTAAACCAAACTTTTATTTTGACAGGTTGCTGTGAAGACCTTAAGTTTCTTATTGTATTTGATTTGATGACAGTTTTCTCAAAAGAAATGGTAAAATGCTCATGAAGTGACTCCCAGAACAGTTCTAGAGATTATGGTTATATGTTCATGTTCTCTTATATTGAGGCAGCAGAGAATGAAATCACCGTGAGCGTCACGTGCGCTTCAGTATGTGTGTAGTAAACGAAACCACCTGTCTGCACCCATTCATTCACTTCACATTCATATTCATATTTAAATAGTATTTTTGCGGCTTAATATTCACAGACACAAGTCCATATTGATTTAAGAGTACTGACCTACTTTTCATTTATTCATCCAAAATTTGGCAAATTCCATAACATTCCACGTTATACAGTAAATTCCATTTTTTTGACTAGATTCCGCGATTTGGTTTTCCAAATCGGTTTTTGGTTGGTTTTCGGTTTTCCGCATCGCTGAAATCATAGGGCCCTAGAATGCCAGTGCACAGAGCTCCTATTCTCCCAGTCATCATAGGTTTACAGTCTCTGTTTAACAGTTCTGTCTAATAAATTATTAGACAGTACTGTTAATCAAAGTAAACGCATATGAAAAAGTATTATATAAGTTTAATCGGCATCTGTTGACCGCTTATATAGACAGTTATTAAAAATGTTATTGATATTCCACAGGATTACTCCTTTAACTATGTTTTTCAACAAATAATACATTCATATAAGTGAAGTGTTCATGAACTTATTAAAAGGTTACTGCATAATTTATAGCATTAGCAAAGAGTACCATAACAGAAATACGCCCCAATGAATCAAATTACATCGCTCACCTCAATGATCTCTGTCTGTGCATGTTTGGTCCAGAAAGCCTGAGGAGGTGTGGTACAGCTCACAGCAACAAAACTGTTGGGTTTTCGGTCCAAAGACGGTGTGGTCAGCTCACTACAGACTATACAATCACATTCACATTCAGGGTCAAGACAGAGTTAAGATTTTCCACAAGAAGCATTGTATATATGAATGAGCTACAGTGTACCTCAAGTGTTATTTGCTAAAACCTGCCGGCACTCAGAGATATAATCAGACCTCCACAGTTGAACCACTTTATTTACAGCTTATGAGAGATAGAGGCAGTCACTTAATCCAAATGCAGCTGCTTTAGTGGTTAACTTCACGTAAGCATACAGTAGGACACAGAGAACTCACATAAATATTTATACTACTGTTCAGTGTCATTTACAGTCTAAAGATCAGATCTGATAGCCAGCTGAACCATTATATCCCCAGCAGTATTGGCTGCTAGTGGAGAATAGATCATTTCTGGTGCCACTTTAATTTAAAATTTGAGTATGTGATGGTTGGACCAAAACCAAGACTGACCAAGACTGAACTCCAGTACTGGCTCATCTGGATCTTGACTGTTTCCTACAAAGAGGAGAAAGAGAAAGACCTTATATAATTCTGACCTGATATAATGCAAAGTAAAAATGTAATACAAGAGAATTTCAAACACAAGTTCACTAGCACTACTGTATACCTTCCAATGCTAGTCCAAGCATCTCTGAGGAAAGCTCAAAAGTGTTCGACCTGTACACCGACCACGACCGTTCCCTCCGTGACATTTTGGCAGGATGTTTGTGTGTGTGTTGAACAATAACAACAGTTCAAATAACAGGAGTGGTGGAAACCCACACACAGCCAGACACACTCCCGTGTGGCCGTTTCCTCCTCTGCTATCTGAGAGAGAGAGAGAAATATATATACATTTTTTTTCAGAATTGGTGGAAACACAGGAACATTGAAGTAGTGTTTGACAAGCAACTGAAATTCACAAGACCACGTTTTCCTACAGGCACCACTGGAGGGTTCTAGAGTACAATCACAGCTTCCAGAATTGAAATAGAAACAATTCTTGTGGGGAACAACCCCTTAACAAACCCAGAAGCAGAGCAAAGGATATTGCTAATATAGAATTTTTCAACTAGTTAAGTACAAGAAATAAATTCAACTGTGCAATTCATTGGGAAGGCAGAGTATTGCAGATCCATTCAGAATGGATGAAACCAGTGGACCAGATGGCATTGCTCTGAAGAAGCCTGTCCAATATACCTCCTCCAATCCTCTTTTATGAATATTTTATTATTCATTTGATCTTTTTCTGAATATGCAAAATTTAAATACCTTTAAAGGGGTCATATGATGCGATTTCAAGTTTTCCTTTCCCCCTTTCGGGCTCTGTCTTTACATTTATTTTGAAAGATGAAGCTTGCGATTATGGTAAGGGGCGTTACATTTCCGACGAGTGCTTGCGGTGTTCGGCCAATCACAATGCACTGGGTCAGCTGGCCAATCAGAGAAGACTGCGCTTGTCGGAAGGAGGGACTTTGTAGAAAACGAAGCGTTTGAGAGAGGCGGGGCATAGAGGACCTACAATAATGTACAGTATTTGAAAAATAATGTGTTTTTTGAACATTAAAGCATGTCAACATATTCTGTTACACCAAATACACAAAATAATGATCTTTAAAAAAGCATCATATGACCCCTTTAAAGGAGGCCTATTATGCCCCTTTTTACTAAATGTAATATATGTCTCAGGTGTCCCCAGAATGTGTCTGAAGTTTCAGCTCAAAATACCTTACAGATAATTTATTATATAATTTTGAAAAAGCCTATTTTGAGAGAAAGCAGAAATTGAAAAACACTCTTTTTGTACATGCATCTTTAAATGCAAATGAGCTGCTGCTCCCTGCCCCCTTTTCCAGAATAGGGCTGTGCCTTTACAGCTCGTTCCTCAGATATTCTGCCAAAAAAACATGTTTGGTTTTGATTATCATGTCTATCATGCGTTTTAAACCAAATGAAACTTCTGATATACAGTTTTCTGAGTGCACTCATCCGAAGCACGCACACAAAAAGCAGCTGTTACATGGCATGTAAACACTAAACTAAGTTCTCTTTCATGTCTTATTGCGCTTAAACTGACAAATACGCACTTGTCTCCTCTGAGGCTCTGAGGATCTGAGCGGCTCATTTTTTCACAAGCTTGCAGAGAAAGGCTTACCCCAAAAAAAAAATTACTGGGTTGTTCTTTTCACGTTTTCTGGGTTGGTAGATGCACCCGGGACCCGATTATAGCACTTAAACATGGAAAACGCCAGATTTCACCTTTAAAACTACAACATCAGAAAGAAAGGACTGGAAACTTAAGAGAAATATTTAGTAGAAGACTAAATCTCTGAGAACAGCTCTAGAAGTGACCATTAGCTATGAGATGGTATAGGACAGTATGCCCATATGTGATAAAGGGAGTCCCTCTACTGTACATCTGTTTATCCATCTAGATTTTTCAAGCATTTAAAAGACCTTCTATGAATCATCTGTGCCTCTAGTAGGCATATAGATAACTTCATAATGTTAATAGACATGGCTGATGAACAGAGCCTCGCCTGCACACATCACACTATGAGTCAAACATGAACAAGAGGAGCTGATGTTAAATCCAACACACACAGATGCATCAAATCTCAACAAATGCCCTGTTTAGAAATTCGCATAATGTGGTCCAAAGGTCTAAGACTACACTGGGATTTATTTTATGTAGACATGTAAATAAATAAAGTTTTAGTATAAAGCAAAAGGGGAACATACCAAATATTAAATTTAAGAAATTAAAAAATTCTGATACTCAAGTACTCAAACACTTCCGTCAAAATGCTTTAACCACAATTCATATTGAAAAATGCACACGTATTAGAAAAAATGTACTTCTAGATCCCACAGTATGTATTCTCACACAAACCACAGACTGTTGAGCAAGCATGTGTCCATACCTTTTAGACATGAGAACAGTGAGGAGAGAGTCCCCTCTTCAATTAATCTTCTCACTATACTTCCTGTGAGAAAAATGCAGGTAATAAATATTTGTCTTTACAAATCATCTTTTGTTAAACATCAAGAATTGTATTTAGACAACTGACAGAAATATGACAGAAAATGTCCTAAATTCTGCTCAGCTGGTTGTCTCCATGGAGATGAGGTTTTATGGTATTGTCACTCTCTGTGTGACTGTTCTTTCATTGCTGCTAAAATGAAGAAAAAAAACAAACAAAAAAAACGGAACTGCTGTGAGAAATGCGGGCTGCAAACTTTTACTTGCTATTGACACAACCTCAATGACCCAGCTCTGCAGCTTCTGCAAAGCCATGAGAAAAACAACTTATGAAAGTAGTGATGCATCAAAATTGAAAATTCTTGACTAAAAATCCTGCATTTAGCTTAAAATTAATATTTCTATTTTGTTTGGAACAAATTCCAGGGCTCCAGACTGCGTCCAAATAGATTAATAATGATTAATAATTATTCTCATTATTATTATTATTGATAACAATAATAAAATGCTATCATACTTGTTCTATCGTTTCTTTGTTCCCTGGCAATACAACAATAATAACTCTGGCATTTTCAAATAATATTTAAACTTTACTGATGCAAAAACTGACTTTTAACTAAAATAATCTCCTTCTGTAGTTTCTTAAGGATAGCCAACAATGGACAATAGACCTTTCTTCAGGAACAGTGGCAGGTTGTTTAGAAACAGTAGTGTTTCACATTAGAGACAATTCCTCTTCTCATGTATTTAATGAGATTTTGTGTTTAATAGCCTCTACGCAAACATGGGAAAACATTTTTTATTAATGCTCTAAAACCAAGATAGCAATCACTTTTGGGCATGATGACTTGCATGCACAACTGTAAAATACAAATATAAACTGCAATTGGGCTTGAAACTTGGATATATGCTTCCTTAGACTTAGCAAGTTTCCTTGTCTATTTGGATTTTTTTTACCACACAAACATGGTGGCACATAGATTTTCCATGTACTGGATTATAAAATAATAGTTTCTGGTCAAATTTTGGCCACAATTTTAGGCCTTTTTTCCTCTTTTGGACGAAAACTAAAAATGGCATTTTGGTGACATTTTACTACAAAAACATTTCACTGAATCCCTAGTAAAAAGACTAATTATGTATTAAAGTGTCCGAGAAGTGGGAGAACTTCTTGTTCTCAATCTCGGTGGATCAGAAAGAGACATTAACACCAATATTGAGTGCCATATATAGGTCCTGGAGACCCCACCAGATTTATGAGTCACATGAACTGGAACAGGAAGACAGGGAGAGCTTTTTCAGATAATCCCTACAGACTACCTGACACACTTTTTCGTCACGTGTCCAACTGAAAACGGCACACAAATTCTAACAGACTCCAAGTATGAAATACTGTAGGAGTCCAATGTCATTTCAAAGCAAGAAATGCTTCAACAAGCACTAGCAGTTGTCTCCTTTTAGTGTGTTGGGTTTCCTGCAGAGGGCAAGGAGAATTGAAGTGAAAACACTTTTCACTTCTCTCTTGCTGGTTACAGCATTTTTCATGTGCAAAAGAGAGGAACTTGGTATAAGATGCAGTTGGTTGCCCTAACCCTCCTTAAATGGCCAGAGATATTTCCTCTTTTCTTTGATCCACCTGAGGTGACAGCAGCAGGCTTTAAAGGGGTCATATTGTGCGATTTTTCCTTTCTCTTTGAAGTGTTACAAGCTCTTGGTGCATAAAGAAGATCTGTAAAATTGCAAAGAGATACTCTTTATAAAAGTTAAGAGTCAACCACGCCTACCTAAAACGGCTCGTTCTAACACGCCCCCACATGTCTACGTCACGATGTGGGAAGATTTGCATAACTCCGCCCAAATATTCACGCAAAGAAAGAAGGCGTAACTTTTATTCTCGCTGTAGTATTGTTGCTGCTGCCATGTCGTGTGTGTTTATGTTCTGTGTGTTTCGTTGTGAAAGCGAAACTACTTTGTTTGGCCTTCCAAAAGAGGACAATATCCGCTTCGTAATGCCTAGAGCTGATCCATGCTGGTCGCTGAGGAAATACATCAACTTCGTGCTGTGGATCGCCGGATCGGCTTTCACCGTGGATGAAGCGGAGTCCAGCCCGGGGTCGTCACATGTGGTTGCCGCAAGCCAGCCGGCCGCTCCTTCGTTGAATCCGCCGGTCGCGCCATTCTCAAGCCCACCTGCCGCCGCTCACTCAAGCTGGCCTCCGCTCACTCTAGGCCGCCGCCGCTCACTCAGGCCCGCCCGCCTGCGCTCATTCTAGCCCTCCGCCACTCATTCTAGCCCGCCAGCCTCCGCTCACTCTAGCCCGCCGTGTGAAACTACTTTGTTTGGCCTTCCAAAAGAGGACACAACTGGAAATCAGTGGTTAAGTTGTATTTACAACATTGTTGTATTTAAACTGAGCTGGATGTTGACATCACTGAATTCAATGATGAACTGTCTTTAACTGAAAAATTTGTGTTTACTATTGTCATTTTGCATTATTGACACACTATTTTCCTAATTAATGCTGTTCAGTTGCTTTGACACAATCTGTATTGTTAAAAGCGCTATATAAATAAAGGTGACTTGACTTGACTTGACTAGATAGCTGGCCAATCAGATCACACCTCGCTTTTCAGACTGATGAGCTTTGTAAAAATCGACACGTTTCAGAAAGGCGGGGCATAGAGGAGAAACAATAATGTACAGTATGTGGAAAATAATGTGTTTTTTGAACCTTAAACTGCATAAATACATTTCATTACACCAAATACACAAAATAATGTTATTTTTAGCAACATCATATGACCCCTTTAATTAAAGGGATAATTCACACAAAAATAAAAACTGTCATCATTTACTTACCCTCATGCTGCTTCAAATTCATAATACTTTTGTTCATCTTGACACACAAATGAAGTTATTTTTAAAGAGATCTCTCTCAGATGAGAGACACTTAACTACACTAAACTACGGCACTTCAAAAGTTTCACAATGAGATCGTAAAACCGACATGGTCACTTTATATGATGAACACACTTATTTTACACTTTTTTTTTTTATACATATAAACATTGATTAACACATACAAGAAGCATAACAAATACAGTAATAGAGTGCTCAAAAGGTCCAGCAAAGGTCTGTTCATCATTAAACCGATAATGTTTTACATTGTTTTATGAACTTTTTGAAGCTTGGAAATTTTTGTTGCATGGACTTTCAATGGATGTTTTTTTTTTTTTAAAGATAAACGACATAACGGTGAGTAAATGATGACGATTTTCTTTGTTGGATGAACTATCCCTTCTATGAACTGCCATGTGTGATGTGTATAATTGTACACATGTATAATTTCTCCATGTCTCTGTGGCTCCAAATCATTACAATAATAATAACTTATAGACTACACTAAATATAAGTTTTTAAGTTAATATACAAGTTTTGATCATTTTAATTGCCTTGCAAGCATCATAAGAAAATGTGTGAATATACATCAGTATCTTATAATATGCAAATCTTTATAGACCAAGTTTAAAACGTAACACTCAAGTTTTATACAACATGCAACAGTGGGTCCCTGCTCTGCCTTACTATCCACTGAGGGGTCCTTGTCTGAAGACTCCGGCTTTAAATAGCCCACTTCTAAAGTATGACACCAAAGGCACCTTACATTTTAAGCCTGCTGCTTAAAATTCAGAGTTATTTTTCTTCAAAGATAAGCATGGCCAAAACAAACTACACTCTTTTCAAATATCCATGAGAGAGACAGATAAAGAAACAGAAAGAGTGAAGAAAAAGGAGTGTGTTTGTTTTAGATTACTCTTTTTCTGCAGGCACTGAGTCAGGAGGAGAGCAGAGACTGGAGACTGTAAAAGGGCAAACCTAGTTTCCCAGTTTTCACTTTCTGTCTGACTGCCAAACCTCGAACCCATAGTCCTTCTCCTCTTACACACACTCTCTCTCTCTCTCTTTCGCTCTCTCATACAAACATACAGTATAATGTCATTAAGCAGTTAAGCAGGTGAATGGCCTGAAACCCCCTCGGATGTTCTTCTGTATCTCTAGTTAAACTTCCCACACAGAGAGAGAGTTAACAAACCAAGCTCAACACGATCCAGAACTGATCATCTCTATAACACATCAGTCTCCTTTCCTCTTCCCACACACCTCTCATTTACAGCTGCATCACTTCCTCCCACACGCACACTCAGGTAAAACTTTCTACAGTGTTAAACTGTCATTTTTACCCTCTCTCAAGCGCTGTCAACTCCAAACCATCCTTTCAATTTAAAATGTTCAACAATGGACCAGTTCACCAAATATACCACTATAATATTTGTCAAACCCAAAAACAACCCAGTCTTATCCACCTTTTCATAAACAAGCAAATTCCTAGTAATTGAGTATACATATGGATACACATATTGGCACCATATCGTTGATTGGCTGATATTCACAATTCTTATTTTGGACGCGGATCTGACACTACAGGTAGGGTTATTAGATAATTAATCGTGGCCTTCTACAATTTTAAGATTTATATTATATTGCATTCATTTAGCATTAACTTAAAGGGATGGATTATGCCACAAATGTAAACTTCAAGAGTATAATCTCTCTAAAGAGAGTGCTTTCTAGAGGTCGACCGATAGTGGATTTTGCCCATACCGATAGCTAGGTTGGACCACACTGGCCGATACCGATTAATTAACCGATAGTTTTTAAAATGGATACTGAACAAAAACTAAAATAATGCTTTATTAAAAAAACAGTACTGAACCATACTACTAGTAGTAGTAGTAGTAGTAATAATAATAATAATAAAAATGTTGAAATTAACACATTCTAATAAGGAACAATACTTTCATTACACAGCTTTCATTAATCTTAATGTTACAAATGGACTCTTATTTTAAAGTGTTACCATTTCATTTCAACAGTCATGCTTAAAGATGCACATCTTTAAATATATACACAAAGGCCATAGCATTAAAATTATATACATATGG